TGGATGCCAGCATGCGCTGAATAATGCGAAAGGTCAGAGTAAAAAATGACATTTTTCTAACATACTGTAGCATGGTGATAATTTTTTCACTAAACGACGGATAATAGAAAACTACATAAATACTTACAGACTACTGGAAAGTTGGTGGAAAACTAACAATTTTTCCATAAAATCTGACGTTTGCCGCGGCAACTATGAACTTTGGTAATTACCACCTGCAAAATTACTTAAATGTGTCGACATCTGACAAGCGAAGCTTCTGTAATCGGACCTCCTGGTGTGGCCGATACTTGTACCTTGATTGTCCGGTGTATGGTATACTTAGAAGTGTTACATTCTCGAACGAGTCGACGGATGCTCTTTTTGCGGGCTGCTACTTACACGTCGCAGAACAGCACTGACAAAACACTCATCTATTGATGTGCGTGGGAGAAAATTTATTTGCACGTCACAGACACTACTCGTCGTAACATACTTTTTCATCAGTCTCCGGACTGATTTACAGGTAACCGACCGCCTACCTACATGTTTTGCATCGAACTTGCTAGTGATCACACTTTACTGCGGGTCACATAAATAAAAATCTGTTCACTTCCGTGGTTGATTATCAGACTACCGCCACGTTGTTCCCTTACTTGCGTTCCAGGAGTGTGATCTGGTTTCAACATGAAAACTTCGTGTAGACCAATTTTTGGGTTGTGGTTGGAATCAAACCAGTGACAGAAATAACATGCTTAACCAGCGTCTTACCAAATGAGCAACGAAATCACACCGAGACCTCAGAAATTTCGATTGTGAATTCACTTACCAATTCACTTACCTTAGGATCATTTGGAATCCATGGAATGATTTACAGGACTGACTGACCAAGCAGAATTTCCCGAGCAGTTGACGTTGGAATTTTTCAGTGCTACTAATGCCCAGCGTTGAGGTTTCACGGTACCTTCGGTCAATTTAGACAATCTGTTTTTGTCACTCTTTCTAGCAGTAACCCGGATGGATCCTCTGTTCTTTTCCTTGTTTCTTGTGGCTTTCAGTGACTCTCTATCCAAACAGCACGACCCGTTTTCCCTACAGTCCATTGTTCTGTACTCCTCGATTACGTGGGATGCACAGATAATGTCACTTTACTCTTGAATTCAACGGATTTCCGGGCGATTTTTCTGAATAAACTTCAAACAAACCTGCCTGAACTATGGCTGTCCATAAATCTGATGAAGGTGTTCTGCATACGCATGGTGGCTGATGGACATCAGAGGACTAACGTGCTCGAGAGCTTAGTGAATAGCAGAGCTCATAGCTTTATTCCTTTCTCAGTGTCATTCTAACTGTGCAAAAATACTCGATCTCCTCTTTCACTGAAAGGACAAACATCCGACGACAGCTATCAAAAACCTAAAAGATGTGACTGAAGGCTTAACCCAGGAATCCAAAATGCCGAAACGATGAGCACAGGTTCCTCGTCAGTACGTTATTCGCTGTCTATTTGTTCTTATTATAGAAAGTTCAGATACATTTAGGGAGACAAGAGAGTAATCGTGAGTGAGTACGATCTCACGGACTAAGCACTATGTGTGGACACACATGCATGCACTCGTACAGATACTGCCACTGCAAGATTTGACTACGTAATCCTTACTGGTTGAGTCCTGGTCATTCACCAATGAATAGACAGAAAGATCCGCAATTCGTACTCGATAACATCGATGGATAATATTCTGCATCAGTCGTAGTTTTATGTCCGTGAAGGGTTTTCCGCTATGTGCCACGTTAGCTAACGTGTACAACTGGTTCAACTAAGTTCATACTTCTATGCGTCGAAAGAACAATACAGTGCTTACACACGATGAAATATGAACTAGATAACCGTCAGTAACAAACAGAGACTAATGAGTCTCGGTGGCAAATGAAAACCACAGGAAACCTCAAGTCCATCTGCCGTAACTGTCAACAGTCACAACTGGTTGAATCGGCACGGATTTTACAGTCTCCCTAGAATATTCTTTCAAGGAATGGAACATAACACGCCTCCTATAAATGGTTAACGCCCACTTACCTAATTAAAACCAAAGGCATCCACAGGAAAATTTGATCAAATGGAACACAATTCGATATACTTATGGGTGTGTCGTTGATAAATACCATCAAATTCAGTTGGGGTTTTCCAAGTGACTTTTTCTACAAAAACAGCCATATTTGTTGCTCTTGAAGATCCACTGTCTAATTTCTAATAAGTTTTCCTTTTCAAATTATTTATATTTGAATGATATCTTGCCGGGACAGTTAATCCCGTGGATCACCTGATAGATTCCGTATAGAAAAAGCGAACCGGTAGATGACAAAGTCCAAATGTGAAATCCTCAAGCCCTTAGCGTTGTTTAACAGTTTAGCCTGTTGTATTTGAGTATGCTTTTTCTTCCGTTGATTTAAATCAAACAAAGACCCACATTTTCAGAATTGGGTTCTTTCTAACTCTGCTAGAAAATCATAGGTTCCAGGGTTACTGTGGAATTTTTAATTATCAACCCACACTAAACTCACAGAGGTTATAAAAGAGGTCCCCTCATAAGGATAGATATTATTGCTTATATTCCATCGTGCGTTAGAGTTTGGAACATTAAGTCTTATAAAAATTTCCGAAAAGGATCATGAAATGACTGCTCCAGAAGGGAGAATGCGATTAAAAGAGAAATTTCGAGGAAAGTGGAGTTCTACAATGAAACTACTAACCTTAATTTTAAGTTAGAAATTTACTCATAAGTAAACTGACTTACGGTGTTCGTGGTGAGAATACCAATCAGGTACACCACCCATGATACCATGCTGTAGCGTTTCAGTGGCACCTAGACTAACTAACACGGTCGGATGTAAAACAAAATACAAGGCCTTGAGAAATGCACTGCTCAGGGACGACTTAAAATTAGCCTGTTGTAATGTATTTTGCAAAAATAAATCCAACAAGAAGTTGACTAGCAAACGTCTATCCGTAGTGGGACACAACTGTACTATCCGGTCTGTTTTGTGTTGTGTGTGCTGTCCGCATCGTATTAAGTCCTATAGCTACCATCCTTATGATGTTGAGAGTACCAAGATAGGGAATGCGATTAACAAATCGAAATTAATTATGCTAATAGATTTAGTGGTGTGTCTCGTTTCATTTCGGAAAACATATTAGTTCAACTGCACTACGTTACTGGAGGATGGCAACACGAGAAAATTTTAGTGTTCGTTCGACGGTTCATTCACTGTCTCCAGTATCACTCTGGTAGTGTGTACAGGAGGATGCAAACTTGTGTAGATAGTTTGTCGAAAATGTGTAAAACCTCACAGCGCAAAACCACAAGTAAGTAAGAACCTGTGAACAGCCACCTAATGGAATCATCACACGGCACTGTTCAACGTGCTCCATCTGGCTTACATATGCTCTGCCGAGTGAAGTTGTTAGATCGAATGTCATTTCCTGGTTTAACCATCAATGGGCTTGTACATGGAAGATGGTGAATTTCGAAGCTCAACTGATGTATAACTCAACGACAGGTTCTGTAACCCCAAATTGCTTGTCTAAACGTTTGTTCTGACTTGAAAACTGATGAATGTTATAAGAAACGCGACTTAGTCGCGTTTATTTTTTGACAGATTTTATCGAGTTTCTATCTTCCTCGACAACTTTACTGGAGTAAGTGAATGAACTGTAACCTAACTGGAGGAGCTAAATTGTGTTACCCTGGTAACTGCTTGTTAGTACTTTTACCCAAGTGACATTTAAACTGGAAAATATCCCATTCAAGAATTACACGAATGAGTGATGTTCTACGTCAACTCTTCTGACAAGTGATTCCGGTTGACACAAATATGGTAGCCACCGGGTGATTACTGTTACTTTGTCAGCATGATTTTCATCATGCAAATTTGATCCTGTTGAGTTTTGTTGCCGCAGATGTCACTTTTTCGAAAGTAGTTTTATGTACATCATTCACCTTACGCCCTCAAATTCACAAACTGAACTAGATTTAACATTGTAATCTCGGACACTTTAAATCAACCCAGCCATTTCTGTCAGTTATAATCGGCATCCGTTTGATTAACTATCTGGCCTCTGTTTGGAATTACGCCCTACCGTTTACAAAGGAAATCCATAGTAAACGTGCTCCTCCGATGGGACACCATTAGTCCAAGTTCGTCAGGCAATCTGCTGACCTCTCATTGTGTGGAAATGCGTGGGTGGAACCCTGATCATAGTTCAGTGATTCAACTTCCAGTGATTGAACGTCTCCACTTCAACCATTGTGGTCAAACAACTAAACAATCTTGTATCTCATGTACACGAAATTTTGCAGTCTGTAATTTTATTGACGTGTTACGAAATTACGGAAACCAGCTTCTCCAGTTTTGTTATTGTCTGATCATAAGAAAACCCAGTGGTTCGCACGGTTATGGAAATTAGGCTTCAACGAGGCTTATTTTGTAGTAAAGCTGACAAGCAAATTAGATGGTATTCATTCCAGGCACAAATCAAACGAAGCAGACGATCAGAACATACTTGCAAAGCATCATCTTAGCAAAATTGATGCCAAGAAAATTATCACTTATCAAAAAAGCTCTTTGGATTTACAAAAGCAGTAAATACCATTTTTATTTGTTGCTATCTGCGCAATCTAAACAAAAATTTGATTATTTGTTACATGAGTGGAAGGCTTAGAACTCTTATACAGAGGAGATAAAGTTGAATTTCTTATATGTGGATTTTTGAAACTTTTCTTTGATATACGACCAAATAATAATCAATGTTTTGATGAAATGCGTTTGACAAAAAAGGTTGTATCCGTTTACCAAAAGTTTACAACATGATAAGTTAACTTTGTTTGAAGTTCAACTGTTTGCTTCAAAGTGGTAGTAATAAGTAGGAAGGTGAAATAAGACTGTAATTGTTAAGATAAACAAAAACAATAAGTAGTTTGGGAGATTTGTGATTTTAGATGAGACTCAATTATGAAAAGTCAGGGCTTCGTCTGGATTCGAACCAGCGACGAAAACAACATGCCTCAACGCGGCAAACACTCTACCAGTTGAGCTACGAAGCCACGCCAGGAGCTCGGAAATTTCACATTTAGACTAGGCTACCCATCCATCCCACTGTCTTATATGGAATCCATCAAATGATCCAGGAGATAGACTGCCCCGACAGGATTCCTCAACCAGTTCACGCTAGAATCCACCAACGCCAGTGTTGAGCATAGGAATTGTGTTACTAATAAGTAGTTTGGCAAATTTATGATTTTAGATGAGACCCAACTGTGAAAAATTAGGGTTTCGGCTGGATTCGAACCACTGTGGCATTCGTGGATTCCAGCGTGAACTGGTTGAGAAATCCTGTCGAGGCAGTCGATCCCCTGGATCGTTTGGTAGATCCCAAACGAGACAGTGGAACGGGTGAGTAACCGAGTCTAAATGTGTAACTTCGTAGCTCAGTAGGAGGAGCGCTTGCCGCGTTGAGGCATGGTGTTTCTGTAGCTAGTTCGAATCTAGCCGAAACTCTGACTTTTCACAGTTGGGTGTCATCTAAATTATACAAAACTATGCGAGACTGCTAATGATATTCCGGCACCCAGATGACCAACAATTTCTGCTGGTAATTCTTGTGCCCTCGTGAATCCGTTTTCCCATAGCACGGAAGTCTAGTACTTTCCAGTATAAAACAAATATCTCGGAGATTTTTCTCTGACTGTGTGAATTCCGTTAACAAAATTCCAACCAGCCTGCTTGCTTAATGTAAGATACAGTGATCACCGCAAGACAGAATAACAATTGTTGTTGAGCTAACCACAGGGACGGCCTCACAGTTTTCAGTTGCCATGACAATATCTAATTGATAAACAGTTTGCTTGTCAGTCTTTCATCGTCTACAATGGGTACTTGCTTGTGCGTATTTACAGCTTGTCTGAATTCTATTGACATCTATGTGAATTTATGAACAGCACTAAATATGACATGCACCATGCAGTTGGTGGTTAAACTGAGGCGAATTCCTCTAGAAAAACAAACTAGGTTTTTGTGAAGCATCAAAAGAAAGCCAGAAACGACCCTATAGTGGGTTTCTAAAGTAATGTTATTGTCAGAAGAGCAGCCTTCTGGTCGACTTGCATCAATCCGAAATTCATTTGGACCGACAACAATGCTGGAGAGAAAGTGAGAAACTAAACCACATAATCAGACACTTAATTTCTATATTCTCAACAAGTGTTGCAATCAATACAGAGAAACTCACCTGTTACAATAAACTCTTATGAGAGGACGTTTTACGTTGAGCTATTCACTTAAATCGAAGTTAATAACTTCATGTTCGGCTATGGAAGTAGACCGTCTTCATAAGACTGGCCAGTACACTCCCTAACTAAGAGTGAAATTTCAGAAAAGATACTTTTCCTAGATGTTTTTTAGAACCGGAACAAGATCAATCTTGACCAACTTTCTCCAAAACAGGTAGGAGGAATCTAAACTAAACATTGCCCAATTGGCGCCTATTGCTTCATGACGTTGTTTTATTACCACAACTTCTCATATGTAATCATATTTCTTTCTTTTCCACAACAGTAATAAATTTAGTATGAATAACATATCGCTTACACGAAAACAGGTTCCTCATGACGAAGACACATTGCTAACGCTCAGTTGGGCAGAAATCTCGTACTCAAACTGAAGACGTCTGTCCCCCAAGTTTAGTCAATAATTGGACCCGGAAACGGCTTCGATAAATCCCTATATTCCGGTATGGGTTGCTATGCATGTCGACTAAACTTGTGTAACAATAGGTCATTAGCATTTATTTACAAAATTGTAAAAACTATTGACGATGCAATTATTACCAGAATCACACCCCCGCCCCGCATTTTCAGTATCACTAAATAAGACTAGTAGGGGCAACGCAATAATAGTTTCTGTCATGGTTTCTCAAAATCTCACGGAGACAGACAAAATTGTTGAACAAGTAGTGAAACGTTTTCAAGCACTGATTGCCTACTTGCTTGTACAATTTCTTGTACAATGTCCTACATAATGTGTGAATGGTTTGGACAAAACAGTCACGCAAAACATGAACTAAATGAAATCAAAGCGTTGTGAACAAAATCCTTCAAGTCATCTATCGGATTCTTCATTTAGTGAACTCCCTAGGTGATACGCACCACAGTCAAACAGTGACTATTGCTGATACCATACAGGTTTTGGCAGCCCGGTTAGAAGTACAGTAAACTATGTACTCACATACGCAGCATCAAAGCAAAGTGTCCAACCTCTACTGACGACTATAGTCATTAGCGTCGCATATCCTTTTCACTTCGTTTTGAAGAAGAACGTAGAAATTGGAGGTACGTTCCTTTTTTGACACTGATGCACATGTTCGCACTTTTTCATCGATAAAATGCGCAATGCCAAGCCATCGCAGTTCGAAACTTCGTGTTGCTAAAGGTACCCCTATTGTTGCAGTCAAGTGAGACTTGTTGAACCTTAATTCGGGTCACCAAGACCATTCTATTGGGTAGTTACGATCACTGAAGTGACTTCTGTTATAGTCAGTCACTCTTCTCCGACAGCCCTGCCTTCTGAATGACACAAAACATGGTAAGCCAGTGGAGTGCACCGCCGCCTGAGCATACCAAGCGCACGTATCACAGCTGCAGTCATAACTATCATTCACGTCTAACTAACAGCTCGTAAGAAATTTGTGGGTTTCCATATTGAGCACACACAAACCGTTCGCAATCAAGCCATATTCCATTGGTGACTCCTAATCTGGCTGGTCGTATACACACCAAGAGATCTCCCGTTTCCACACTGCTTTGCCGATTGGCGAGGGCAGAATTTGAATACTTACCTGAACTCTGAAGAACACACTATCATGAGGGTCCATGGGCTTTAAGGTGGCATTTGATACTGAAGAAACCAAGTGACTGACACCCTTGCAGGCAACAACCCGGGTCCAAAAAAGCAACCGCCACTGAGAACTACCCAATTCTGCATATGTAGTATCTAACCATTTGATTACGTGGTAAAAACTATTTTTAACAAAGCAAATACGATACGCGAATATCAGCATATTCTGCTGGCCAAAAACATTATGTTTCACTCAAATTCTTTTGCATAAAACTCCGTTTAGGCAGTGCGATCCAAGCGTTTCAACCCTTCATTCGAGAATTCACAAAACGGTCGGATTTTGTCCACCCCAATCTTAATGACGTCTTGTTGACCAGTTCTTTAGAAGGAAGACAAATCTACACCGACCAGTGGAACGCATGGTCCAAAATAGCGTCACAGTAAACCCAACTAAATACTAATCAAGCAAAACTTTCATTGACCTTTTGGGCGACCAGATCCCAGAAATGAGAAAAAGCCCAAACGCGTGCTTATATCTCTATCCGAAGTCGTTTAGGCTGCTTCTTTGTTTTAGTGGTCTGGACAACTACTGTGGACGCTTCGCATCACGTTGTTCTTACATAACCGAACCAATCATCGATCACCCCCGTGAAAATGAATTTCCACTACGGTTCACGGAAATTGTCTTGTTAATCTGTATCCATTAAGTCCAAGCATGCGGTTGTTCAGCAAGATGTCCTAGCTCACTATGACTCGAATGCACTGCTGGTAACTGTAACCAACGTTTTCAAACAGCTGTATACACTGTGTTACAACGGCTAGCTGTCAGATATTGAAAACTTTTATCCTTCTGTAAACGCTCACAACTCACGAAGGTCCGTCGCAGCACCCTTGGTAAAGAATTAACAACAGTCTATCTGAATATCGGCCACTTCCATACTTTGATGGCAAGCTGAGTCTATTCAATTCAAGCTGATTTCAGACCCTTAATCTACTCCATAAATTTTTCAGCCGACCAGCATTCCTCAGTTCAAGATGAACATCTGGATTACACTGATCATCTTACATGTCTCAGGTACCGAAAACATTGTCGTGAATGCTGTTTTTAAAAATCATTGTCCCATCGCATCCGTTGATACTGGCAATGATTTAGCGTCCATGACTGCAGCAAGAGCTACCGATCAATAAATTGAGTACACTCGTCAGAGTGACTCTTTTGCAGTTCAACGTGTATCTCTGACATACTCAGAGGGTGCAAACCACTGTAACAATTCCAACAGCACACCGCACCCGGTAGTCCTCACATCTTTCACCACACGTCATCTGATACAATATGCGACTTGTTCATCGTCATGAAAAGAGTCGATTCGGTACACTCCTTACTTCAAAAGTAGGTTTTCGTCATGTGCACATTGATCTAGTTGATAACTTAACACCCTCCAATTGGTTGTGTTAGTTTTGGCGTGGGATAACCTCTCCACAATTTGGCCTAAAGCTTTATCGCTCTTCGAAAACGATAGCCATTGCCTTTCCGAAATGACCGGTGATACAAATTGGGCACAGATTATGAATATCTTGCAACACTCTTAAATACTATAGGGTACAACCACGCTAGTAAACGTGATGGTTGGACGCTTTTATCATCAACTGATACCTTTTATTAATGTACAAGTTGCGCAGTTCTGGGAAGAGAACCTTCTAATATTTTCTTTGGGACCACAACAGTTAGAGATCAAAACAGCCGAACAAGGTTTCACTTATACTCAGGTTGCCGGGTCAACTTGTATCACCTACACCTTCGGCACCACAGCTCATTTGGCACATCACATGCAGAAGCCGCTCCCTGTGAAGCCTCGTCAACAATCGTCAATCGTACACATGCACGATAAGCCTTCATCTTGTTCTCATCTTTTTATACGTACGTAGATCTGTGTCAACCAATTCAGCCCCATATATCGACCTCTACCATGTTATCCTAGGAGACACGAAGATTCGCATCTTTAATTGAGGCGGTTTAAAAATATGTTATTTAGAAATGAGAACGACATTTGATTACAGCCCAAACCAGGGCCAACGGTAATTATTCGGGCATAAATCTAATAGGCACGCGGAAATGCAGGGAACCCACTACCATGCAACATTCTGAAAAACGAGTCGCATTTGAGAGAGTGTAGTCTCGCTAGCTGCAGACAGTCGTTTTCACTTAATTCAC